GAGAAATATAAATATCAAACGACAGATGTGAATTTAGCAATTTATAATTGCAGAGGTAAGCTAAATTTATTAGTATTAGAATTGCATTTAACATTGCCAAAAGATTTAAAACATTTTATTTGTAGATCGTGAAATAAATGATACAATTATTATTACATATATGTTGGAATATTATTATTTAATTTATGCAGATGATTTTGCTAATTTGCTAAAGACGGTTTCCGATGCATATACTTTATGTAAGATTTTAAATTATGGTATGTTTTCATTTTATAATCTTACTTAATTTGAATAGATTGCATAGTTGAATTGATAAAGTTTATTCATAATCTAGAAACTTATACCAGTATTTTAAAAAATGAATGGCACACATTTGTGGAGGAATCTACAAAAAAACACGAGAAATATTCATTAAAGATTCGAAACTGGGTTAAAATAATGATAGACAAATTTAAATCGCCCGAGAATGGTCCAAAGAATACTAAATTTACAAAGGGTAAAAAGGAAAATAATTACAAATTAATTAAACATATTCTATTGTTTTTATTTATACCACGATGGTATAAACGTATCCAAGATAAATCAAAATTAATTAAAATAATTACGAATGAAGATAATGACGATATATTTGATCTCCCAATAATCGAATACATAATTAATGATTTTTGGTCGAGTGCAAAAAGTTACTTTTTCTTTCTTTTTATTCGATTTTTTATATTTGGATTTTGTTTTATGTTTATTAGTTTAGTTTACATTGGTATTATCCCTGCCGAAGGACTTGATTATGTTTTATTTATGTTAGTTGGTGTATTCTTTTATTTAGCTATTTATCTACTTATTACAGAATTTTTGCAACTTAAACATCATACAAAAGAAAAATATTTGAAGATAGTATTTAATTGGTTTGATTTACTTTCAATCATAATGCCTGTGGTAATTATGATAAAAATGATGATTAAATCTAATAACCAATTTGTAAGCATTGAAAAAGACAACGCATTAATTGTGGAAATTACCTATTCAATTTTTATAATTTGGATTGAATTTGTAAGTTTTTCTAACCTTTTATGACCATTCATTATTCAATTAATTAATTACACACATTTTAAATTTTTTTTAGATCTTATATTTACGTTTAATACCAAGTAATCAATCTAATATATATCTCTCTCATTATATCTAGTTCACTTACTAATTTCTTTTTTTTTTTTTTTTTAGAAATTTCGTTTTATATTTATTGTGTCATGAATATATGCAGAAGCATTTATCCATTTCTCATATATTTGTTCATTATAATTTTTGGATTCGCACATACAATGTAAGATTTTTTGATTCTTTTTTATATTATTTTTAACTAAAAACTTATAAATCAAATATTGTTACATGTAGGTTTGTTTTATTTAATAATCCACATGTTAAAGAAAAAACAGATTCATTTAATGGAACTGTTACAAATCCATTGACAAATGAAATACTTAATGTTGATCTTGAATCCAAAGTAAATTATACAGATCCAAACGATAATCCATTCTCCACTTTTCCCACTTCATTAGTAGCTACATATTTTTGGATTAATGGTAATTTTGTTCATATGGATAAGTTTAACTCTTGGTCTTTATATATATTTACTATTATTGCTAGCATTTTGCTGACATTAGTTTTACAAAATATGTTGATCGCTATTATGGGGTAAGATTTATTAATTTCTTCATACGTTCCTAGTTTCTATTTAAGATCTTTTTTTTAATCTACCATATATTTTCTTTTAGTAATGTTTATGAAGGAGCAGCAGCTAAAAGTAAACAAGCTGTATTAAAATATAAAGCAATACAAATATCAGATTATGATGATTTACAACACCGCTTTGATTTTTGGCGCCAAGTTCCGTTATTTGTTCCTTCTAAAAAACGTATTAGAAACTTTAAAAATGCTATCTATCTTGATAAACATATTGCAGAGTTCGCTAATGAACTAGATTACGATAAAGAATCAATTTGGAAATTTGATAATGAGGAATAAGCAAACATTTATTTATTTATTTACTTACTATTCATTATATGTATTATATATGCACTGTATATCATTTCATTGGTTATTAAAAAACGTTATATGAAATTTTGTTCGCGAATTAAAAAAATTAAAAAAATTAGAAATTACTTATTTTTTTAAATAATGAAATGTTTGTATTTGGAAGACCTATTAAAATAAATAATTATTTATAACTGTTTACTTCTTTGCAAACTCGATCCGTTAAAGTCGAGTCGAAAATAATAATATGTTTACACTCTTGTAATGCAAATGAAATCAATGATAACCGGAAGCTAGAAGTTGTACCGGCATATTTGAAAAATTCAGCTTCAACATGGTGGACCAATAATCAAGCACTTGCGAATGGCCATACAAATCGTATAGCAGCATGGGCTGGTAAAAATAATAACACCGATTTCACAGTCATCAGAACGATCTTGTTACCTCGAAAAAAAAAACCTAAAATGTATTAAAGATTGTAAGTTTCTTATTAATATTAAACTTAGTATAAATCATAATATCTTAATTTCAGACTAAACAAATTCAAGTTTCAGACTATAATTGAGTTTTTGCTAAAATTAAGTTTTATAGTATTACATAATGTTGCAAGTAGTGAAACGAAAAATTGGATCATTATTATTATAACAATTTTTATTTTTACAATAAAAAGCAGCTTCCAAAGTGTGGGGCGAATGCAATAGTTTTATATATTTTTTTTTTTCAACGTAATAGAATTTTTTTTAAACACCTCGTTCGTCGGAGGCGGCTAGGGCTATTATTGTAAAAAAAAATATTGGATCCATCGGATTCGATTTTATACAAATCTAGTGCTGATCGGATTGATATGGAAAAGCTTAATTTGAGGTATCTCGGAGGATCGGCATCTTAAAAAGGAAATTGGCCGAAAACTAATCTTGAGGTTACTATTAACGTTAATGTTAACATTAATCTATAATGACAACCGATCATTTCTTTCTAAACATTGTTTCACCACTCACCCACCCCGCTGGGCACGTTTGCTTATATTGATTATAGTCTTTTGTAAATTGTGGGATAAATGACATTGAAATAATAATTCAGTCAAGGCAAAAACAAAATTTAGATTAATTCAATCTGGTAGAAATTTACTAGAGAAACGATAAAAAAATAAAACAATTTATTTTGTTATAAATATGATTTATGTAAAATTTTTAAAATTATTACAAATCAAATATATACTCTATCATACATAAGAAAATAATTAAAAACATTTAATAATATAATTTATTATTTTAAAATATTAAGGAATTTATATAAAAAATATTTTAAAAATATGATATTTCATTAGTCAAATTAATCAATTTAAATCGTATTCAAATTGTTGATTATTTGAACTAACTGAATTGAGATAACAATAATTTTAATCAATTAAAAACTTACTTTTTTCAGATGAAATTATTTGATAAACATTTAAGCTAACCATATGTAATCAATGATGTCATATCAATATCATTCAAATTATATAAATCTAGATAATAATAATTTCTAATTAATTAAAATTATTATAATTGTTATAAGAAAAATATAAAATTTATTATTTATATATAATATTAAATAAATATACCGATAGATTAATTTATAGAATTATATATATATAAACTATATTATATTATTTAAATTAAATTAAATTATATTAAACAAATATTCATTTTTATTTGATTATAAAATAAATATATATTTATTTATAAATGTTTAAAATAAAATTAAATATAATATAAATTAAACTATATTACTAACATAATTTAAATAATTCAAAATTTTCTGTTTATATCTTTATCAGCAGATACATATTCATTATTATTATTATTCTGAAAATTTACCTAGTTATTCAAATCTTTACCACACCTTTTATAAGAAATAAATATTTTACTTCTATATTTTTTAAGCTTGAAATGATATATTATAATATAACAATAATATATATTTTTAATTATAAATATATATATATAAATATTATATATTTTATATAATTATTAAGAATTTTTTTATAATATAATATAAATTGTAGTTTCTATAATATTAAAAATACATTCAAAAATAAAATTATATAAATCTGAAATTTAAATGTGACGTAATATTCTGTAAATTTACTATTTTTGTAATATTTCAAAGTATTACATTGTAAAACTATGTGAGTTTACGAGTTTGTAAGATTTACAAACATTATAGTAAAATCTTATATAAGATTATAGATCGTATTTTTATGTAATATTATGGTTAAAATTCTTTATAGGATTATAATAACATAAGATTTACAAAATATTACAGTAAAATCTTATGAAGGATTATGAGCTCATAAAATTATGAAACATTATAGTGAAATTCTATGTAAGGTTACAGGATCATATGAAATTTTACATAGTATTACAATTTCCTATCATAGATTTGAAACTAGTAATATATATGCTGTATATTGTACTATTTAATATAAGCAATAAGTACATACTTTATATCTTTTATTGATTTATATATATATTTAACTCTTTAAACAATGTCAATTTTAAATAATTAATTGCATATATTTTAATGAAATAGCATTAAATTTTTATGTTAAAAATTATAATTCAAAATCATATACACATGTTAGCATTAAATATATTTAATTTAGCATAAGTTTTAATTAAATCCTGTATTAAAAGTATATAATTCAGAATCATATATATATGTTATAATAAAATAGTGTTAAATTCCTATATTAAAAATATATAATTCAGAACAGAAACAGTGATTTCCTACTTTAAGCAAAAACCTATAAATTTAGCAGATTTATGGAAATAAAGATTTCACAAAAAAAGTGTTCTATATACAGTGGCTTCCAAAAGAAACGCAAGTGGCATTGCTTGCCTTTAAATGCCTGTAACTCACTGTGCACGAATG